GTGAGGAGTGTGGATGAAGATCCAGAAGCACCTGAAGGGACTCATCGTTATCAGGGGCCAGACCTCTAAAAGAGAGAGACTGGACAGCCTTCGATAATGCCCATCTTCCACTGCTCTCTTGCAGCGACGAATCTTAGAGTCAGAATGATTTGAGGGGGAGCTATTACTGACCCTATCAGCTTCCCTTAAAACCTCATCCCACAAATCAGAGAGAGAACTCTGAGACCACACTACATAGTTGCCTGACACCTTATAATTCAGTGAAAGAATATATTGCTAGAGTTGGTATGTATACAGGATGTTCACAAATTTGCCTATAATAAGTCAGGGGAGGAATGGGTATGTTATTCATCACTTACACGTAATGTTGATCCTAATGCGACAGCAATCATTATACTTAACACTTAATAACTACAACCATTATCGTGTAGTTACATCAATAGCAGATGCTAATGATTATAACAGTGGTGATAAAAATACATGTGATGATGACAAAAAAGTGTGATAAAAAGAATGATAATTAATGAGACAGCATAGTATTTATGGCCATAGCTAAAAATGAATAATAATAGGAGACAGTGTCACATTGGCCATAGCTTAAAATGAATTAATAATATCATGAGAGAGTGTCATAATGGCCATAACTTGAAATCAATTATTAAAGAGCAATGTCATATTGACCATAATTAATCATAATAGGACAGTGTCATATTGGCCATAGCTGATAATGAATGATGTATGAGACACGGTGATATTGGCCATAACAATTAATGATAATACATGAATGATGAACTAGACTCTGTCATATTGACCAATAACATAAAATGTGATTGTTGAGACACTGCAAAAGATTTAATTTAAAGACTTTGTTTATATTGACGCTGCTATATGGCCATCTTTCTCCCCTTCAATACCAGCTAGACCTCATCATGGTAAAGGGGTGACAACAGTTGGGACACATTGCCCCTACTGGCTAAAAAAGCTGGCTTTATGTATATTGCACAGTTATAAATATATAATATTATAAAAAATTAACACAAACAAGCTATTACAAAAATTAAAAAGAGAAATTCAGTAGAATTCAGTAGAATTCAGTGTATTGATTCGTCAAAAAAGTAATGGAAACAAGGACAAGTATGATTCCAAATGACCGATAATTCCAAAAAGACATATTATTCTGAGCAGCTGACTATACCCATACAAATGAAGATACAAAATGAAAATCCTGCTCTCATGATGCAAACTCTACTCTACCTTATAAGGTGATATGCATTTTCTTACACAATTACATTAAAAGTACAATGTAGAGTAGAATTTGCGTCATGAGAGTAGGATTTTCATTTCATATTTTCGTTTGTATGGGTATTTGGAATAATCTGTTGTTTGAAATAATCAGTCGTTTGTAATCTTACTTGTCTTTGTTTCCATTACTTTTTTGACGAATTGATACACTGAATCCTACTCAATCTTTTTTTCAATTATTATAATATAAAACAACATGTATATTCGTTTCTTTTGCGAATGAACATTACTACAATTTACATTTAGTGACCAATTATATTCTAACACAAAAAGGTACCATACATGGTGAACATGATGATCAATGTAATGTGTAATTATAAATCTCACCTATTAGTCCACATGCCGTACAAAAGTTCAACAAAAGCAAAGGAAAGATTGATAAGAAGAAAAGCTAAAAGATTACGTGATGATGAATCCAATATAATATTTCTAAACAAAAAATAAAATAAAATAATTACAGAAATACATTCACATACTACTTTACATGAACCATTAAATTGTTAATAACACAAATTTAATATTGTCTCTCTGCATAGCAAAATGTTTTACCAATGAAATAATTGCACATGATCGCAGCCAACAACACAAGATTGGAATGGCACTTCATGACCTTTAGACTACATTTTATTGATACAAAAAGTATCATGCAAATAAGTATTATGTTGTTATGTTTGAAGTGGATTTAGAAAATGGTCATTGTGTTAGGAAACAAATTGATCAATTGATTTCTAGGCATTAATCTACAGATCCAGTGAGTTCTGGTAGTAATGATTTGGAGTCTTTTGAGGGACCTGTAACACATCAGGAATCACAGGTAGCCCTGGAGACAATGTCAAAAGGAAGCTTTAGATATTACTCTTCTTTTAAGCGCTATATGATGCTATAGTGGCACAAATACTATAGCCTAGATAGATTGAGTGGCTTTATTAAGTTTAGGATCCTTAGAATAGCAAACTTCAAAAAGCAGTGTCAGACAATTAAGTTTGAAAAAGGTATTTGAAATCTTTAAGGCTGCACATCTGATTTCACCTCACAAAGTTTACCTAACTTAACCAGATGCAAGTATGATAGAAGAATTAAGAATTACTTAAGTCAATTCCATTTTTGAATGTTGAAATTATTGAAAGTTTATAATTTCATTTAATTTAAAAACACCTTGATTGGTTATCAGCAAGAGCTGCTGACACCCAGGAGAACGTAAAATTATAGTTAAAATGAAAAAGAGGAGAGAAGGAGGAAGGAGGAAATAGTAACAAAAACAGAGGAGTACAACAACGAAAAACTGACAGAACAGAAATAAATGAATATTTATGCACAAAATAATAAAATATATTAATTAAAGGAAATCAAGGAAAAAAGTAATAAAAAAATTAACAGATACCATGTAGGTAGTAATCAAAGTAGTTTGACAAACTTTATGCTGGTCACCATCCAGTAGCAATCTTAGGGGGCGGGGGCTGCCTAATTCCCAGCACTAACTGGGGACAACCCCTACACCCAAGAGGCTACTTTCTTACAGAAAGCTCACTTGATTCAAAGTGATAAATGTGACCATAACACCCAGCCATTTAATGTCACCAGGGGCACTCGGTGGGACAGCCCAACACCATGAGAAAGATCTGATAAAAACTGTCCGTTGCATCTATCATAGTCCTGCTAACTCCCAGCACTAACTGGAGAAAACCCCTACACTCATGAGGCTACCTCCTCAGAAGGAGCTGCCTTGATCCCAAGTGACCCAGGTGACCATAATACCAGTCCACTCAACAAGGCCGGGGTGGTATTGTCACGAAAAAAATTGTCCCCCGTGAAAATTTATCCTAGGATAGAAATATCACGTGATATTTTATGTCCGCGTCAGCAATTTTTTGTCCTACCAAAAGAAAAGTGTAAAGGAACTGTAAATCTTTGTATTCGACTTTGTTCCTTAATCATTTATCTATGGAATACACGTACAAAGCATGTGGGACCCTTTATTATACGTTCAAAGTATGTAGAAGAAGATTTCAGATCGAAGAAGGATGACAGACTGTGTCAAGAACCGAGTAAAGAACCCAGGAAAGAATTAAGAGGATGATCTTGTGGAGAAGGCAGCTGTGTATTTAGCTGATAGAAAGTGTCCAGAAGGTTGTAGTGCTAACAGAAAGAGGCAGATATGGAAAAGAGCTGAAAAGTTTGTTTTCAGTGCAAAATGGGGAATCGTATGAGACCAAGATGACTGAATGGTCAATTATATCATGATAGTGTAGGTGTTTTGTGTATTTTAAATAGTTTAGTTAGTTATGTGTATATATGTATGTACGTAGTATGATATCTGTGCTTTTGTAGACAAACTCAGCATGTATATGCATCTGTATTCATGATTTGAATAATTAAATCAAAGCATCAATTATAACAAACTGATATATGATAGCTTGCCCAGCGATGGTATTGATAAACGTACCAGGGAGCAGATAGCAGCAATACTGAATTGCACCGAGTACAGGGAATTAAAGTGACTGTTCCTAGTATGCAAATTAAGGCAAAATGGACAATAAGATTGTGGTTTATGTGCCCTTGCTTTAGCAATGTCAATTTGTGCTGGTTAAGACCCAACTTCTTGCAGCTATATTTCACACAAGCTTCGTTTCCATCTTTTATAATGCCTAGAAAAGAATGTGATGTCTTTGTTTTCTACTTGTTTAAGAGCTAGATGCCCTGGACTATCCAAAGAATACAGGTTACCTATATACTGCCTGTGCAGACAACCTATAGTAATGAAGGAAGAATGGTAAAATGTTCTTAATGTAAGGAGTGGTATCACGTAGAGTGTGAACAAATACCAGAAGATGTTTGGACTGATAAGGACTACGTTTGGTCATGTAATTGTTGTAAAAGTTGCATGAAGACAATTATTGTGCAATAATGAAATGTATTATTATTATTATTATTATTATTAATACTGAGTGCTAAGTAAATTTTCCTTATCAAAATAGTCTATATATGCATAATATTATGATCCTAGGATAAAATATTTCAGATACAATTTGTCCTAGGACAAAAATATTTCACATATTATTTTGTCCTAGGACAAAAAAAATTAGTCCTATGGTAGGACAATAAAAGCTTGCCTAGGACAAAATATTTCTGAAAAATTTTGTCCTAGGACAAAATATTTCTGAAAGATTTTGTCCTAGGATAAAATATTTTGTCTCATGGGACAAAATTTGGGTGGGACAGATTTTTCTGTGACAGTATCACTTGGCAAGACAGCTTAACACTGTGAGGGAGATGTCAGTTGGAGGTAGACAACAGCGAGAGAGTAGAGAGGGAGCTGGGGTGACCAAATGACAGTTGGAGCAGAGACAGATAAAGTGATATGTGCATGGATTAAATGAATCTAAGTGTTTTAAAAGTGTGACTAGAAGTATTTCTGTAAAGGAGATTTGATTGTAGGGAGAAAGAGAGAAAGATCAATTGGAGGTAGAGCATTAAACACTTTGATAATACGATTGAAGTACAAGTGTCTAGATCTGTTGGTGGCACAATAGCGAGTTGGATCTTAATTTGAGCGAGTGGAGGAGGAGGAGAAAGAGATGTAATTGGTTATATCAAAGCTCTCATCAGGAAATTTGAGGGACTGTACAAGAAGAAGGACATCTAAAAAGTATATGAGGGGATGCAGGCGGATCATAAGTCTGTCCTGATAGCTGAGAGAGGAGTGACCAATGATTTAGCTCGTAGCTCTATGCTATATTCTCTCTAAATTAGTGACGTCCTTAATTAACATTGGGCGCCAGACTCGGCAATAGTATGTCAATTTGGAACATACTAATAATGTGTAGAGAGCTTTTTGACAAAGAGTGGGCAAGCAATGGAGAAAGTACGCTTCATGAGGTAGAGTTGACTACAGGCCTGCTTTAGAAGTAAGTAATAGTGATTCGTCTAAGAGAGGTTTTCAGAAAATAGCACACCAAGGTCTCTTGTGGTACTAACTTGAGGAATGACTGAGTTATTAAGTGTGTATATTTTACAGATATTTGGGGAGAATAACAGCAGAATCTTAACAAAAATGACTTGGCCACATTAAATAAAAGAACCAGAGAAACTACTCCACTGCTCCAATGCATAAATATCCTGTAAATGAGAGCAGTGAAGGGATAAAGATAAAGCCTTGGAGAGCTTTGTATTATCAGCAAATAAAAGGGTAGAGGAGAAGAAAATAAAGAGGGGAGGTCATTGATGTAAACCAGAAAGAGAAGCGGTTGCTTGGGATGCTCCTGAGCAGACCAGTAACAAATCAGAGAGTTGACCAACCACTACTACTCATTTGCATTGTCCAGCAAGATAGAATCTACCAACAATGCCCATATCCCAGAGCCTAGAGAATAGAATATTGTGTGGGACTGTATCAAGCGCCTTTCTCACATCCAGTAACATTGTGTCAAGCTATTTTTTGATGTCAAAGGCCTCAATGATTCATTTCATGTGAATAAGCACCTACTTGAGTGAGGAACTACTGTTTCTGATGAAGCCAAACTGGGAAGTACATTGTAGATATAGAGGATTCAATGAGGTAGTGATAAACTTTGTCAAAGACTAATTTTTCAATGATCTTGGATATGTAGGATAAAAGTGAGATTGGTCTGTAATATGAGACAAGAGATCTTTGTGAACAGGGGTTATGTAGTAGTTTTGCCATTCAGTAGGAAGAGAGGATTGCTTAAGACAGGGGATAAAAATATGGTGCAATGGTCCGACAATAGCTACAGCTGTCTGTTTGAGGACAATAGGAAGAATCCCATCCCTACCCATGGCTTTGTCATTCTGAACAGAAGTAAGAACTTAACAAGTATATACATCAATACTACAGATAACGTTGTCAGCAAAAGATTGAGGAGGATCTGGAGGAGAGAATGATCTGGTATTGTAGACTAAGTGAAAAAATTGATTAAATAGATTAGCAATAGAGAGAGGAGAGGTTGCCTTTGAGTATGCAAAAAAGTAGATAGCTGACTTACCAGAGAGGGAGCGTATATAACAAAAAAGCAGGGCTGGGTCGAAGGGCAAAAAACAACCTCCAAAGCTTCTATACAAAAACCTTTGGTTTTTGCGAAGCTTCTTAAATTTTTGTTGCATTATTAATTTTTGCTATTTGTTATTTACAACATACATAGAAAAAAGGTCAACAGTATAAATGTAACAGTAACAAATGTAACAAATGTAACAGTATAATTCTCAAAGTAACTCATAGTTCTTATTCAAAAATATTAAGGCATCAACATTGCTGGGTTTTAAAGCACTTCGTAGTTTTGTAACTGTTAACCCTGCAATAGAAAAAATTCTCTCTGAGGTAGCTGATGTACTCGGGATGCCGAGTAATCCTCTGGCAATGATAGCAAGTCGTGGATAAGTAGGTGAGTTAATCTTCCACCAATTTAATATGCAGT